CGAGAAGGCGTTGCCGTCACAGCAGCAACACGCGGCAGCAACAACAGCAGCACGTGAGACGAGGAACGTCGCAAGGCGACCACACGCGAAGAGGCACAGCATGGCAGCCGAGGCATGCATCGCCATAACACGACACCCTTGGACCCACCCGTCAAAGCCATCGCCAAGTCTTGGATCCTCAGCCACGATTGTCTAGAGTATATAACACCAAGTACAGTAGTCCAAAAACATGTCTTCTCGTGTACTCTGGTGATGACCACCGAACAAAGGCTTCTCCGGATGACGTCTAAATATCTCCCCCGTTTGAGCGAAACCTACAACACCTATTCCCACCAAACGACAGCCACGGAAACGATACCAAATTCACCAACAAAATCAAAGTCATCACCACCATCGTCAAGAACAACAACACCAGTTGCAAGAGGCGGAAGGCGCAAGTCCTTACCCGGATGACGGGCATGCCGGCGATGGAGCTGTTTGGGTCTTCCTCGGCGGCGCTGTTGACCGTGTCGTTCGCGCCCACCACGAGGCACACGTCGGCCGAGCTCATCTCATCGTTGATTTCCTTCGCCCATTTCCGAATCGCAACAACACGCAACGCCCGGAGAGCAGCACAGAGGGCGACGACGCACCGAACATGCAGGGGTAAACGACGGAAAAACCACCCAACGTGCCTCCAATCAAGAACGTCATGTACTGGCCTTTCACTTCCTCTTAAAAAAAAAAAATGAACGGGATATGAGTTTGTTTGCGTGAGACTACATTGTAGGTCTTGTTGTGTGCAGCTGACAGCATAGCCTCCCTGCTCTTTCGTGACGTTTCGGATACAGCACACCAACATCAGACGTCCGGTGTCTGGGCAACATGAACGACGACGACGACGACAAAAAAAGGGCTAGGAACAAAAAAGAGAGAACCGCGAAACGGTTCTCCCGACAAGCATCCGCACCTCCATCTCGTGCACGATGTCGTACGGCACGCCCGCCTCCGCCAGCAAGACGTTCAGCTGCCCCGGCATCCTCCCCGCCACGGGGTGCACGGCGAACTTAACCTGCAGGTACGTCGTCACACAGAGAGCACAATACACGACAGCAGTAGGGAGGGTTGGAGTTGGATGGAATGAAACGAGTGTCCATTGGGCAATATCTTCCGTACGAGAACATTCCTTGGGCAATATCAGATAAAAAAAGAAGTCAGTGGCTGCTAGAGGAAGGCAAGCAGCCCTATGTAAGCAGTTCTAGGAGAGTGCAAAAAATATTACCACGCACAACGTCAAACTGAAAGAGTGTGCACCCTTCTCGACGTTTAGGTTACGAACAGGTGCGCGGGATTGTGCGTGTGGAACGTAGAGATGTGCATCACGTCGCGCGGGGCGCCCACTAGGTTTTATCGCAGAAACAAATACGCTGCACTTGCGTTGTGTGTGGAATTCTATAATCATCGGCATGCGGTCGGAACCAACACATGTTATGTCAAGGGAATTCTTGGAAATCGAAAATAAAATACCACAGGTATGAAACGCTCAGCAAAGTGTGCTTGCTTGTGTTGCACCCCTAGATCAGGGTCTTGACAAGACAAGTGGACACACCCGACAAACTGACAGCGGTAACTCGCGCCTGGGCGGGTCTACTACTGCAAGAGCTCTTTAGTAATAGATGGCTGTATTTCAATTCTGTTTAGGCGCATACATACGTATCTCGCGGTCCTTTCTTCCTGCACACCGAAAACACGAAACGAAACAAATCCCTCCGTTCCTTCTCCAGACGCGCAAGTGATTTTCCATGTGTGCACAATTTACATGCCTTGATTCCGTGCTTGGTCAGGGTCTTGACCGTTTCCGCGATGGCGTACTGTGCTCCCGCCACGGCAAGCCCGTACCCGGGAACGATCACCACCTGGGGTAAGGGTAATGCGAGGGCTCAAGTCAGGGTTGTTAGGGATAGGAACAGGGTCAGGGTTGTTAGGGTTAGGAACAGGGTCAGGGTTGTTAGGGTTAGGAACAGGGTTAGGGTTGTTAGGGTTAGGAACAGGGTCAGGGTTGTTAGGGATAGGAACAGGGTTAGGGTTGTTAGGGATAGGAACAGGGTTAGGGTTGTTAGGGATAGGAACAGGGTCAGGGTTGTTAGGGATAGGAACAGGGTTAGGGTTGTTAGGGATAGGAACAGGGTCAGGGTTGTTAGGGATAGGAACAGGGTCAGGGTTGTTAGGGATAGGAACAGGGTCAGGGTTGTTAGGGATAGGAACAGGGTCAGGGTTGTTAGGGATAGGAACAGGGTCAGGGTTGTTAGGGTTAGGAACAGGGTCAGGGTTGTTAGGGTTAGGAACAGGGTCAGGGTTGTTAGGGTTAGGAACAGGGTCAGGGTTGTTAGGGATAGGAACAGGGTTAGGGTTGTTAGGGATAGGAACAGGGTTAGGGTTGTTAGGGTTAGGGTTGTTAGGGATAGGAACAGGGTCAGGGTTGTTAGGGATAGGAACAGGGTTAGGGTTGTTAGGGATAGGAACAGGGTAAGGGTTGTTAGGGATAGGAACAGGGTCAGGGTTGTTAGGGATAGGGACAGGGTCAGGGTTGTTA